CCCAGACCTCAAAGTCAATGGCCCGACCCTCAGCGTCAAAAGTGAGGACACTAGGGGTAGCCATGACAGCAGTAGACCAGCAGTGCAAGGAGTAGGGGAAGAGCACGCAGTGACAGAGGGTCTGTGCTCACCGGACAGGGCTGCTCGGGCGGCTCGGCTGCAGGGCGGCTCGGCCGCTGGGCGGCTCGGCGGCTGGGCGGCTCGGCGGCTGGGCGGCTCGGCAGCTGGGCGGTTCGGCGGCTGGGCGGTCGGCTGCACGGCGGCTCGGCTGGTGGGCGGCCGGGCGGCTCGGCTGCAGCGCGGCTCGGCGGCGGGGCGGCTCGGCTGCTCTGCTGCTGGGCGGCTCGGCTGCGCTGCTGTTGGGCGGCTCGGCTGGGCCGCTGACATAGGGCGGCGGGGCCGCTGTAGAGGAGTGGCGGGGCCGCTGCAGAAGGACGGCGGGGCCGCTGGGTAGTGAGGCGGCGGGGCCGCGAAGACGGGCGGCGGGGCCGCGAAGTCGGGCGGCAAGGCCGCTGAGTAGGGCGGCGGGGCCGCAGTGAGAGGCGGCGGGGCCGCAGCGAGAGAGGCGGCGGGGCCGCGAAGACGGGCGGCGGGGCCGCTGAGACGGGTGGCGGGGCCGCAGTGAGTGGCGGCGGGGCCGCAGCGAGAGATGGCGGCGGGGCCGCGAAGACGGGCGGCGGGGCCGCAACGAGAGAGGCGGCGGGGCCGCAGAAAAGGGCGGCGACGGGCCGTAGGCGGCGCGAAGCCGCAGGTAAGGGCGGCGACGGGCCGGGGCGGCTCGAAGCCGCAGGTAGAGGCGGCGCGAAGCCGCGGGAAGGGCGGCGACGGGCCTGGGCGGCGCGAAGCCGCAGGTAGGGGCGGCGCGAAGCCGCCGGTGAGGGCGGCGCAAAGCCGCGGGTAAGGGCGGCGACGGGCCGGGAAAAGGGCGGCGCGCCGCAGCCGCTAGGGCGGCTCGACGCGACCGTAAGGGCGGCGCGACGGGCCGCTAGGTGCGACTCGACGGGCCGCTAAAAAAAAGGCAGGCGCGACTCGAGGCGCGCTTCGGTGGGCCCAAGGAACAGTCCCTAGGAGGGGACCTGCTCTGATTCCATGTTACAATGAGAACGAGAATGGGTGAACTATGAAAATGAAGTGAGTACAAATATGAAACCCTAATTGGTTGTACCCCCTATGGGATACCCCACTATAGCCTACACAACAGCATAAGCTATAATGTTCTGACACGATGATGTCATCGTCGACATCCACTTCAGCTGTCAGCTGGCTCCGCCTGTGCGCCATGGCGAGTCCGTCCTCACTGCCGTCAAGCTGGTTGCTGATGCCACAGGTGAGGAAGGCATGCTTGATGAGGTCGGCGGGCACTGCCTTCCAGGCTTGTGATACCCACCGCGGTGAAGGCTTCTTCAGGTTCCCTGAAACATTACGGGAGAACGGTGGAAAGCAGTTAGTGCAACAACAAAGAATTCGGGGGGTGGGGGGGGGAATACTGTACTCATGCCATACCTGCTGCCGTCAGCTGCTCTTGCCCCTCTGCCTCAAACCACCTCTGGTACTGCTGGCGGACCGACGCCTTAAAGCTCTTGTTGATGCAGACATCGAGCGGCTGTACCTCCGCCGTACAGCCCGACGGGATGATCGCCGGCACGCAGTTCACCTCGCGGAGCTTCTCCTTCACCTCCTCGGCGAGGTGACCGCGGTAAGAATCCAGCACCAGCATCGAGCTCTTGGCGTGTCTGCCGAACCGAGGCTTCAGGAACGGCTTCACGCACTCCTCAAGCCAGCGAACGACGCCAGGGGAGTCCATCTACCCGTTCTCGTGGCAAGCCACGGCCACATCTGCATGAAACACGCACGGGTGGTTAGAATTCGAACTCTGAAAAGAACGCAGTGACCGAGCCGTGCACCTCTTTACTTACCGGCAGGGAAATCGCCCTTCGGCAAGGTTCTGCGCTTGAAGAACACCCACGGCTTCAGCTTCCTTCCGTCCGCCGTGCACGCCAACATCACGGTCACTCTCTGCTTCTGATACCCCGCGCTCCTGATAGGCACCGAGCGAACACCCGTTTCCTCCACGGTGGTGGTGGCGGGCATCTCCAGCCAGAGCGGCGTCTGGTCCGCGTTGATGATCCACGCGGTGTCGATGCCGCGCTCACGACGCTTGGCACGCACGAACTGCTCTTGCACTGATCAGCGACATCTGCACGGCGGTGGAAGAGACGTCGGACACAGACGGAGGGCGTTAGTACAATTAAAGAAAATCAACGTGCCAAATTGAACGGGGTAATTCTCACGCGCTGCGGTTTTCTGGGCAACCCGGGTCTTCATGCGGACGCTCAGATTCCATCGCCGCCGAAGCGCTCCGACCACCTCTGGCTTCCTTTCCACTTCTTGTCCGGGTACAGAAGCTTCATGAACTCCCGCGACCACTCCTGCAAGCGGCCGACTGACACGGCGGTTCCCTTGCGGCGCCACTCGAGTAGCTTCTCGTACACCTTCAACTCCATCGGCCGGTACCACGACGCTCGCCCGCGGCCGTGCATGCGCTTCCGAGAGGAGTGAACATCCTTGAGGAATTCCGCCGCCCGCTTCCAGTTGGTGAGACACTTCCGGTGGATTCCGCTCTCGCGAGCCAAGGCGCGCACCGACACCGCCAAGTCCATCAGAGCAACCCACTTCAACTTCTCCGCGGCGGTGTAACCTTGCCGCTTGTGGTCGGTGAGCTTGTGCCTGGGAGAGGGGGGGCGGGCATCACGGTTCTGTGAAGAGGGGTGGGGTCGCTTGCGATTATTCGGAGGATAGGTTGGTATGGGCAGTTTCTCGGGTAGCCCGTCGCGTGACCAGTACTCAACGCCGTCGTCGTCAGCGTCGCCCGTAACACCTTCTGGAAACACATCGTCAGCGGTGCCGCCCTGGGCGCCGCCCCCGGCGGAAGCCTCCGTGCCACCCTCGGCGCCGTCAGCGCCGCTCGCTTCCTCTGCGTCAGCAACATCATCGTCGGCGCCGACCGCAGATTCGTCCCAAGGGCAATCGTCGGGCTGTCCCCAACGTCGTCCAGGAAAGTGTTCCACTTCCACGTACTCATCTTGCGCCTTGTTAGACTCCGGTTCGGAGAGGTATTCGTCGAACGCCGATGGGAGCAGTATCGTGAGCACGGGCTGATTGCCAGTGAGTTGCGGAGACACAGGACCCAGAGTCGGAGGAGCAGGAGGAACAGGAGGCGCAGGAGGTGCAGGAGGCGAAGGAGGAGCAGGAGGCGCAGGAGGCGCAGGAGGCGCAGGAGGCGCAGGAGGCCGTGGTGGCTCTGGTGGTTCTGGTGGGATACGGGAGTACCACCCGTCAGCGTCTACTCTAAACGCGGGCCTTCGCGTAGGCTTTTTCTTGAACAAGAAGTGGGTGCCGCTGAATTCCGCCATGGCGGCGGCAGCCAGGCGAGAACTACCAAGAACCCGAACGAGAAACTGAGAGAGATGGAGAACAAATGAGAGATTCAAAGGGACCCCTTCTGGTTAGCGCCTCGGGGTCCTCGTCGGGAAGAGACGGGTACCCCCTGTCTGAACCCGGAGAGGAGGTTATCGCGGCACGAAGATGCTGCGCTGGCAGGGCATTCCAGCCCCTTCTCGATGGCTCGGGTGAAATGCAGCTGCCTGCCAGCGCATGAAAGCCTGATTGGGCCGCAAGGCAACTTTCACGTCAGCGCTGGCAGGTGCGCTGCTCGTGGACGGGATTTGTGCGGTTGGGAATCGAAGCGCAGCAGTTTTCGGCGGGATTACATGCATTATCTCACGCGCACGTTACTCAATTGTGTTCGCCTTATTGCGGGCTTCGATTTGGTACATAAAAATAACAAATTCATTTTTGCCATGATATAAGCGCCGGCGCTTATGGCCGTTATTCAATTACAAGCGCCTCCCCTAAAAAAAAATGATTTTATTATAGGCGCATATGCGCCTATATCCGGGGTAATACGGTACCTCGGCTCTTGGGGTTTGTAGGAGCTGGGAGTCATTCCCAACTCGTAACTCTTCATAATTTGTGTTATAAGTGTCAGATTTATATGACATAGCTACTGTAGGCTATAGTGGGGTAGCACATATGGGGTACAGTTTTCTAGGGTTTGTATTTGTACCCAACTTTCCCTTAGTCAATTCATTCTCGTTCAGTTTCTCAATAAGACTATAGTGGCTACCATAGTGCCGTTCGTTCAAACCGATGTTGCGTCATCAATACTTGATGAAATCGTGCGATGTAAATTGCCTATTGTAGGCGATATCAAGACACTCCAGATCCAATTTATAGCAAGTAATTTGAAGCTGTAAACAGAACGCTATCAACGTTTGAAGCCGCAGTGCAGAAATCCGACTGTGCACTCTATCTTTCGTTTTAGGCACATTCAAGCCTATTGTGACTATAACAAAAGGTGACCAGGTGACCCTGGTTCTTGAGAGGTTGGTAAATCACTTCCTTTCTCAGTACCCATGCAGCATCAGCTTCTTGCGCAAATGATACAATAGCGGGTCTTGGCAATGTAGACCGGCTGGAGCTCCTGAAACTTCGTTGTAGCCGAAGCGTCAGCTGATAACACTGTATACCACCCATGCTTGATGAGTGACTTGATAGCATGAATTATATTGGACACTTCCTTCACGAGCATAAAAGGGATCAGCAAAATGACAACTGAGCGCAACCCGGATTACATTAGTGTACCAAAGTAGGTCATTCGCCTGGTTTGGGCCCATCAGTTTCACTGACAACCTGTGGGCAGGTGGACTTCGCCTCATCTCGCCTCGCTATCCACGGCCCTCGATTTCCCGAAACTCACGAGCAAATCGGGTAACCATCCAGGTGGGGGTGCCCGAAATTGGGCCCAGTTTGTGGTTGGGCTTTGAAATTCGGGTGCTGGGCTGTACACTATTTCGATTATTTACTCGCAACCCCGTTCTCCCGCTCCTCGCCTTTCATTACCGCACAGGTTCTGGGGTGCAAGCCGCGTGCCAGGCGCCATGGCTCTCTCGCACTACGCCTTCTCCCCTCCATTAGCACGCCACTCCCTTGCACCAGTTTCCGGCTCCTCACCCGCTCTCCACCAATCGGCCAGCCCGCCGCCAGGAGTTCGCTCCCTGCGCGCGCCCACACTTTCCCTGTCCGCGCACACCGCGTCGCACGCCATTCACGTGAACCCTGGACTGACCTCGCCCGCAGTAGCGCGCGAGAGTGTATGTCCGAGTACCCTCTGTAGCAACCATGGGGAGAAGCCGATATTCGCGTTTCTAGTCCCTCGCGTTTCTGCGGCGAATAAGCGACGAGGTTGTCGCCCGCTGGTGGTTACCGCGGCGTCTGCGGGAAATTCCGAGCCGTCGCGCGATGTACCGAGTTCCAGCGCTGTTCGGCCAATGGACGCCAGCCATGTGGCAGCTGACGTGGTGCGCGCGGCGGAGGCGGCGGTTCTAGCGTGGTGGGCGACAGCGGCGACGTGGGTGAAATGGCCCGTTGCGATCTTGAGCGTGCAGAGAGGGGATGGGCGGATGGGGGAAGGGGATTAAAGGAGGTGGGGGATAGGGGAGATGTGGGTATACAGCGGGGGGGAGTGGGCAGGAAATAGCGGGAAAAGGGGGGAAATAAAGGATAGGGGGAATGGGGAATGGGGAAATAAGGGGTATGGGGGGACAGAGAGGGACACGGGGGATAGGGAGGGAGGGTGAGGGGATAGGGGAAATCGGGTGAATTAGTGATCGCGGTAGTGTGAGAAGCAGCGGCATGGCAAGGCGACGTGCAGTGCGCCGTCCCAACAACTTCATTCCCTGCCCACTTGACATGCCTCCCCTCCCTTCCCCTCCCTCCCCCTCCCTTCCCCTCCCCTCCCCTCCCCTCCCCTCCCCTCCCCTCCCTTCCCCTCCCTTCCCCTCCCCTCCCCTCCCCTCCCCTCGCTTCCCCTCCCCCCCCTTCCCTCCCCTCCCCTCGCTTCCCCTCCCCTCCCCTTCTCTCCCCTCCCCTCCTCTCCCCTCCCTTCCCCTTCCCTCCCCTCCCCTCCTCTCCGCTCCACCCCGCTCCCCTCCTCTTCCCGTGCCCTGCGTCTAGTCGATGTTCCTGCTCCCGCAGCAGCAGAGGCAGCAGCGACCCTCTTCTCCTTTCCACCTCTGACTGCTCCAAGCCAAGCCTCCCTCCCGACTCTTCCCTGCACCTTCCTCCCTGTTACCTTCCCTCACTGTCACCCCCCTCCTCCCTTCCCAATGCAGCCTACTCACTGTTCTCAGGGAGAGCAGGGAGTGCGGTGCAGCGGCAGCAGTGGATCTCTCCTCTCCATCACCAACTGCTTCAAGGACCCCTCCCTCACTATTCAATCTGCTCTTCCTTCTCTCCTCACCTCCTGCCCGCCTATCCCCCCAATGCAGCCTGCCACTGTTCGCTGTGGTCAACATACTGTTCGGGGCGGCAGCAGCAGCAGACCTCGCACCCCTCTGGCTGCTCGCCCCTCTCCTCCTCTCCGCCTCGCTCCGCCTCTCCCACTCCCTCCTCCAACTCTCCCTCACCCTTCTCAACCGCACTGCACCGCAGCGCCAGCTCCTTCTCACTCACGCCACTGACCTGGCAGGGTACCTTCGCTCCGGAAACGTCCCAGAAGACGCAAGGAAGCTTCTCGGGAAGGTGCAGGAGGAGGTGGAGGAGAACAGGCGGAGTGCTTTGTCTGTAGTGCAGGAGAGGCGGGCGGCACTGGTGGTGTATGTGAACAGTGGGCGGATGGCAGAGGACGTGCAGTCCAAGGCAGAGCGGTGGGCCGTGGCACGGTGGGAGGAGCTGTGTGATTGGACCATCGTGCGAGCAGAGGACGCGTCTGATTGGCTGAGAGCCACGCAGAGACGGCTGGGCAAGGTGGTGGAGAAGGTGTTCTGATGTGATCTGGGCCAGCCCCCGCTTGAAAATGGGATGATTAAGTAGTTCACTGTAGTTTCATCCTTCGTCCCACATCAGTCAAATCAAATGTGACGCTTGAAAGCTCAGTGCTGCACATGTTATGCAGAGGGGCTTCTGCCCGCGCTGATATCCGAGTGAGCCGATCACAGGCTCCAATCTGTCGTGGACTGCTAAGCTCGGGTTGGTCCGTGCCCATGACGTGGAAAAGCGTATCATTCCAAATGTTGGTATCCTCTCCCATACATACATGTACCGTACGGTGTGTACCAATTGTTGGTAAGGTTTGCTGTGCAGTACACCTTACCCCTGCATTGATTTGCCTTGTGCAATCGAGGGTGTTGGCTTGATACAAGCACATCGGAAAGAACAAGCTACACTTGCAGATTCCACCACAGCCTGCCTGCCCCTACCGTACCTACCTTCAACACATACCTAGGGTCCTACCACGGCGAGCCTCTAACCTACCAGCAACCACCACCTCCCTACCACACCTACCGCTGGTGAGGGACACATGGCTCGGTGGCACGGCCCTGTTGTGCACGCATGCACCTGCCGTGCCCGCCACATGCCCTCATCATGGCAACACTGCTGCTCTGCTTGTGAGTGGTGTGAACTCGAAACTGTGGTGAACATGCCCTGCAGCTAGCGGCAGCATCGCCGCAACACACAACTCAGTGAGTGAGTGAGTGAGTCAGTGAGAAGGGGGGAAGCGAGCAGCGGAGTCAGCAGAGGAAGGGTCGAGGTACGAAGGCCACTGCGGGGCGTCCAGGCGCAGGGGCGACCCCAGGTAGTATGACGAGTCCTCACTGCCTGACTGCGCTGGCCTCGCTGCTCCCTGCTGCTGCTGCTGCCTCTCTGCCACCTCCGAGCCTCCTCCCCTCTCGTCCTCTCCGTGCCCTGAGCCATGTCCCCATGCCTCCCGCTCACCCTGTCCTGTGCCATCACTACTCGAGCCCAAAAGAATTGCTTGAGGGGAGTGGGAAGGTTGAGGGGAGTGGATGTCGTGAGAGGACTGCGTTGGTGGTTGAGAAGCGGGTGCTTGAGGGGAGTTCCCTGCTTCTCCAGCCCCCACGCCATGCCTCACACCCCTCATCGCACGCCTGCTGCGCCCTCCACTCCCACCACCGCCACTGCCACCACCTGTTGCTGCTCGTGCCGCTCTCGTGCTGGTTGCTCGCTTGCCGCCCTCCTCGCCACCTGCTGCTGCCGTGCTTGCCTCGCCTCTGCCTCTCCCACCGCCCCGCCCCCCCACGCTCCTCTCACCCTTCTCCTTCCCCTTCCTCTCCACTCCTGCAGTAGCAGCGTTCCGTCTCGCTCCTCTCACTGCGCCTCTCCCTGTCCTCTCCTCCTCCACACCCTCCATTCCTCCACCCTTCTCCGTCAGCAACATCTCTTCCTGTGCCTTTCTGGCCCGCAAACTCGCCTCCCTCCGCGGCCTCCCCGTCTCAACTCTGCGCTCCTCCTGCTTCTCATCCTCTCCTCCCATCCCACCACTACCCCCCTCTCCACCTCCTCCTCTCCCTTTCTCCCCCCCTGCCTTAGCCCCCCCCTCTCTCCTCTTGGTCGCCCACTGAGGTGCCTCAACACCCACGGCGCCGCTTTGAATCCTCTCCTGTCTGCGAGTCGTCCTTCTCCGAGCTACCCCCTCCTCACCACCTCGCCCTTCCATCCCCTCCTGCTTCTCACCCTTCTTACTCCCATCACCACCCACCCCACCCACGTGCTTCCTTCCTCCCGAGCCTCCAAGCCGTCCATCTGAGCCTGCCTCCAAGCCTGTGTGCCCGTCTGCCCGAGCCTCCGTCTTCACCGCAGCAGCGGCAACTGCATAGCCTCGGGCAGGCAGTGGATGTGCATGTGTGGGGTGCAGGGAGCGCGGGCGCTTGCGCGGTGGGGGGCGGGAGGGAGAGGGTGCTGGTAGCGCTGCTGCTGATGGTGGGTCTGCCGCGCCACCGCCTGCATCACCACTGCTTTCCTCCTCGCTGCTGTTCTTGCGGCCCTTGCCACTGCCGTCACTGTCCTCCCTGCCGTCACTGTCCTCCCTGTCCTCCCTGTCAACACTGCCATCATCGCTGTGATCCGTGCCGGTGCCATTGGCAGCACGGGCAGCAGCAACACGGTCATGAGGGTCAGAGCGTGAATCGGAGTGAGCATCAGAATCAACAGCTGCAGCTCCGTTCCTTCCACTGTCAGCAGCAGCCGCAGCAACAACAGCAGCAGCGCCAGTTCTCTTTCTGAAGGAAGGCAGCTTGGAGCGTGCAAGACGAGGTGCTTTGGGGGCAGGTGTAGCGATGGCTGATGGCGCGGCAGGTGCAGGCAGGTTGATGGCGGCAGAGGGGAGGCGCAGAGGGGTGCGTGATGGATGGCAGGGTGCTGTTGCTGCTGCAAAGCCTTCGTCCTTGTTCTCCTGCACAACACAGTACAAAGCGGTGCAATGCAATGCGAATCAATTCATTACAGTGCAGTGCGATGCCCTTACTCATAGAAGAAGCTGAGTTACAACGTGGGTACTCCACAGCGGACAAGGAGCGGTGGCACTCAAGGCAAGCAAGCAGAGATGGGTAGGTGCAGGGGAAGAAGTTGAGGCAGGTGCTGAAATCCATTGCACCACAGGCAGCAGCATACCATCCACCCTTGTGCCCGCCCTCACCTGCTTCTCTCCACAAACTGACGCCCTGCCCTTCTGCTGCCCCCCCTGCTGCTGCCCCTCCTCCTCCTCCTCCTCCCCCTCCTCCGCCTTCTCCCCGCCCACCCGCCGCACAGCAGCCCTGCTGCGTGACGACAATGACCGCTGCACGCACCTGCTCGCCCCCTCACTCACGCGCATGCTCGCCCCCTCACTCACGCGCATGCTCGCCCCCTCACTCACGCGCCTGCTCGCCCCCTCACTCACGCGCCTGCTCGCCCCCTCACTCACGCGCCTGCTCGCCCCCTCACTCACGCGCCTGCTCGCCCCCTCACTCACGCGCCTGCTCGCCCCCTCACTCACGCACCTGCTCGCCCCCTCACTCATGCGCCCACCCCTCACGCCAGTCGATGCCACCTGCTGCTGCCCTGCTCCCTCATCCCCCTCCTCCACCTTCACTCCATGCCTCATTCCCGCATCTCTGATTTCCCTCTTCACATCCCTCTTCACATCCCTCTTCTTCGCTTTCCTTTCTTGCCCCTCCTCACGGCCTTCTGTGCCACTCTCGCCCTTCGCACCCATCCGTCTCTTCTTCACGTGTCGTCGCAGCCCCTTCGTTCGCACTCGAAGCTTCACCTGCAAATCCTCCTCCTCCTCCTCTTCCTCCTCCTCTTGCTTCTGCTCCTCTTCCTCCTCTTCCTCCTCCTCTGCCTCCTCGGCCACCTCCTTTCGTTTTCTCTTCCCACCACGCACCTTCACCCCACCTTTCTTCTTTCCCCTCAGCAATCGCTCATTCTCATTCCGCCCCATCCTACCCAACCCTCTCCCCGCCCCCCCTTCACCCACCCCTCTCCCCCACCCCCCCTTCTTACCCCTCCCCCCTTCCACTCTCCCGTCCTCTCGCATTCTCCCTCTCCCTTTCTCCTTCACCTTCCCCTCCCGCTTCTCCCTCTCCTCCTTTCCCTTTGCCCGCTCCCTCTCCTGCACGCGCCGCACCACCTCCCTGGCCTCCCACTCCTCCCAGTTAACCATCCCTTCAACTGCCTCCACTCTCCTCGCCGCCTCCACGTGCTCCCACCACACCCCCTCCAGCCGCCTGGCTTCATCAGGCACCCACCATCCCACCTCACCATCCCACCCTGCCTCGCTTCCTCTCTCGCCCCCGCCCCCACTCCCCCCATCCGCGCCCATGCCCCCATCCCCGCGCCTGTCCCCCAGGACAGCGGCCTCCAGGGAGGCCAATCGCAGAGCGACAGCAGCGCATGTGAGGGGCATGCACGGCAGCGGCATGGTGAGGGAAGAGAGGACCAGCGCCACCTTCCCTGCGGCGGCCTCTAGGGGCTGCTCGCCATCGCTCACACACGCCACTAGGCCATCCCCCCCTCTGCAATCCCTCCCCCTTCCATCCGCACCTTGCCTCCGCTCCATTCCAAAGTTCTGCTGACCTTTTTCTGTGGATCTGCCATCCTCTTTCCCACCCCCCGCCCCTAGAGAGCTCTGCTCCCAGTCAGCATTAGCAAATGCCTTCTCTACGGGGCACCTTTCCTGCTCTCCTTTCCTCGCCTCCCCCCCCTCGCCAGAAACACCAACCATTCGCCCAGCCTCCTCACCACAACCCGTCCAGCCGTCACCCTCCTGAGTGCTTACTACTCCCTCCTCCCTGATCTCCTCTCTTCCAAACTCCCTCTCGCCCCCTTCCCTCTCGCGCCCCTCCCTGCCTCTCTCCTCCCCCGCGCCCCCCTCTCTGCCCCTCTCATCGTTGCACCGCCCAGCCTGGGCCTCGGAGTCACCTGGCCTGCGCGTGCGCACCAATCGCAGGGCGACATCTGGCGCGGGGCTGAAGGAGCCGTGGATGAAGGTGGGGGGAATGGCAGCCTCCAGCTGGCATAGCAGCTGCCAGAGGGTGAGGGGGGGTAGGGGGGCAGGAGGGAAGTAGAGGAGGTGTTTGGGGTGAGGTGATGGATGTCCGGGGTGAGGAAATGGTGCGTGGAAGGGAGTATGATGGCGAGTATGGCGCATGGGAAGCAGTCTCGAGGTGCAGGGACAGTCAGAGAGGGCACTGTGAAGAGAATGAAAATCAAGAGCATCTCACAGCTGCCGGCGACCATACTTGCCTGTCCTTATGCACGCTACCATGCATGGCATGATGCATGCTCCTCTGCACGTGACTTATACCTGCAGCAGGTGGGCGGCATGCCATGCCATGTGCACGGCTGCACGCCACACGCGCCTTCTCTCCTCCGTCCACTCCAATGCCAGCTTGCCCCTTGCCTCTAACACCACCTGCCATGGTCAATGGGCATGGGCATGCCATGGGCATGGGCATGGTCATGGGCATGGTCATGGGCATGGGCATGGGCATGGTCATGGGCATGGGCATGGGCATGGGCATGGTCATGGGCATGGGCATGGGCATGGGCATGGGCGTGGGCATGGGCATGGTCATGGGCATGGTCATGGTCATGGGCATGGGCATGGTCATGGGCATGGTCATGGGCATGGGCATGGGCATGGGCATGGGCATGGTCATGGGCATGGGCATGGGCATGGGCATGGGCATGGGCATGGGCATGGTCATGGGCATGGTCATGGGCATGGTCATGGGCATGGGATGGTCATGGGCATGGGCATGGGCATAGGCATGGGCATGGGCATGGGCATGGGCACGGGCATGGCATGGGCATGGCATGGGTATGGCATGGGTATGTGTATGGCAGAAACCCCACATGTCCCACAGCACACCTGGGCAGCCAGCAGGGAGTGTTGGAGGTGCCGCACACGGGGGGGAATGGCCGCCCCACGGCCCTCCTCCCTGCCTGCCCCCTCTATTCCTGCTGCTCCACTCGCTGCACCCGCTGTGCCCTTCTCTGCTACACGTTTGCACTCCCCAGATGCCACCAACGCATTTCGTCCTGCTGAGCCCACAGAAGCACCTGCTGCTGCTGCTGCTGCTGCCGCTGCTGCTGCATCCCTGGCGTCAGCATCCAGGGAAGTGCGCTCTGCTGCTGCCACATCAGCACCAGCAGTACGACAAATTGCTGCCCCCCCCTCCCCCTCCTGCCTGCCGCCCCTCACCATCTCGCCGCATTCCCTGCTCTGCTCTCCCTCCTTCCCTCCCCCCCTCTGCTCCTGCTCCCTGCCTCTTCCTACACCCGCTCCCCTCTCCACCGCACTACATACCTCTCCACCGCACACCATCGACTCAATCCCGCGCCACCCACCCCACAACCCGGCCTCTGCATCCCCAATGGATCGAAGCAGCCAGGAAGCTTCCTTGGGGAGGAAAGCGCAAGAGGGTGAGGGCAGGGGGGCAGCAGGAGGGATGACTGTGAGGTGGTGTTGTGTCTCACCAGCTGGGGCGAGTGCACCACCCGTCATGAGCTCGCATGGATGGATGGGTGTGCATGCCAGCCTGGCGTCTCCTTCATTCGCCTGGGCGGGTTGGATGGTGGCGGCAGCAGGGGCGTGGGGAGGAGGGAGCACAGGTTGTGAGGCATCTTCTTCACTGATCGCTGCTGGCGTTGGCATTATGGCACCCTCTCCCTTTCTGTCACTCACAGGTGCTTCGAGCGGCACAGAAGGTGTTTCAGAGAAGGTGGCTAATGTTTCTGGAGTGGCAAGTGCGTTGGTTGGCCTGGGGGGTGAGGTTGGTGGTACCGATGAGGTGAGGGGTGGAGGAGGCGACTCAAGAGCACCAGCAGAGGCTGTGGGGGGTGCAATGGTGGTGGCAGCTGGTGTGGTGATGGTGGCAGCCGGTGCAGTGGTGGTGGCGGGTATAGCAGCGGTGCAGAGCGGTGGAGTGAGGGAGGAGAGGTGGTGGCGGAGGTTGGAGAGCAGGGCGGACTCCCTCACCCCACGCGGGTACAGCAACGCCTTGAGATGCGCCAGTGACTGCAAGCATACGGGGGGAACAATGGGGGGGAGATGGGGAGAAGAGGAGGGGAGGGAAACATGGGTGAAGTGGCCTAGACTGTGAATGTCGGGGGGCGGCGAGGGAAAGAGGGCGAGTGGATGAGGCAGTGAAGCGTGGGATTTGGGAGGAAAGGAGTTACACTGAATGGTGGTGGGCGTTGGGAGGAAAGGAGTTACACTGAATGGTGGTGGGCGTTGGAACGAGGAGGGTAGGAAAAGAATAAAGCCCTTCCAAATGTGCGGGTGCTACATAACCGTTTTGCACGCACCTTCCATACAACCCACTGCTGCACGCACCTGGGCATCTCGAATGGTGCTCCACTGCCCCTCAGTCGACAGCACGTACACCCCCACCATCTCCTGCTCACCTCCCCTGCCACCTCCCCCACCACCACCACCATCACTACCTCCACTTTCTCCTTCTCGCCTCCCATCGTCCCCTTCTTGCCTCCCATCGTCCCCTTCTTTCCTTTCCCCATCTCCTCGCCATCTGCACACCTCACGCGCAGGGAGCGCAGCAGCAGCAGCAGCAGCAGCGGTGGCGGAGGGGGGAACGCGGTGGAAGCACCAGTAGGAGTGGGCACGGCGGTCGCAGCCCAAGGGCACGTGGCGGATGCTGTAACTCGCCTCTGCGAACTCCACCCCGCCTGGGCCCAACGCAGGTGCAGCAGGTGCATCAGGAGAAGCATCAGCAGCAGGAGGAGGAGAAGTATCAGCAGGTGCAGCAGGGACAGCAGTAGCAGCAATAGCAGTAGGATCAGCAGTTGTTGTAGCAGCAGCAGTAGATGCAGGAGCAGCAGCAGGAGGAGGAGAGGCAGGAGCAGAAGGAGAAGCGGGAGCAGCAGTAGCAGCAGGAGAAGCAGTGGCAGCAGGAGAAGCAGTGGCAGCAATAGCAGGAGGGGCAAGAGTAGGTGTAGTAGCAGCAGTAGCAGCATGAGCAGCAGTAGCAGCATGAGCAGCAGTAGCAGCATGAGCAGCAGTAGCTTCAGGAGCAGCAGGAGTTGCTGCAGTAGCAGCAGGAGAAGCAGGAGAAGCAGGAGAAGCAGTAGCAGCAGGAGAAGCAGGAGAAGCAGTAGCAGCAGGAGAAGCAGTAGCAGCAGGGGCAGCAGTAGTTAAAGTAGCAGCAGTAGAAGCAGGAGAAGCAGGAGCAGCAGGAGCAGCGGTAACAGAAGTAGCATCAGCAGTAGTAGCAGGAGCGGCAGTAGCAGCAGGAGAAGAAGCAGCAGCAGCAGACGGAGCAGCTGCCGTGCTTGCATTGGGAGGAGGCGCAGCGGGGAGAGGCGTATTGGGAGGAGCAGCTGTGGTGGCAGAGGGAGGAGCAGCTGTGGTGGCAGAGGGAGGAGCTTTCGAAACAGCTCTTGCAAGAAAGCCAGAAGCAACAGCATGTGCAGCAGCATGTGCAGCAGCAGGCGCAGAGCCATCCCGTCCACCAGCAGAGCCATCCTGTCCACCAGCAGAGCCATCCCGTCCACCAGCAGAGCCATCCCGTCCACCAGCAGCAACAGGAGTGACAGTGGCAGCAGCAGCAGAAGTAATGGTATCAACAGGAGCAGCAAGAGCAGGAGAATGAACGGACATTGGAACCACCCCCTCCTCCAACAACTGCCTCTCTGCCTCTGACCCCTCTTTCTCCTCCCCCTCCGCCGTCGCATCATGCCTCGCATCTCCCTGTAACCCCTCCTCCCTTTGTTCCAGCTCTTCCTTCCGCTCCGCTTTGCTCTCCTGCTCCATCTGCTCCTCCTTGCTGCACCCCTCCAGTCCCTCCACCTCGACACGGCCAACCATCCTCCTTTCCACTAACTCTTCCCCATGCACCCGCCCCTCACATTCCCCCACCGCCCTCGCTTCTTGTTTCACCGCTTGCTCCTCTGCCCCCCTCTCCTCCGCCTTTTGGAACACCTCAGAAGCTCGTCCCTCCGCCTCTTCAGGAGCCTCAGAAGCCCTGTCTTGCGCTCTCTCATCCTCGCTGCTCCTCGCCACCATTGCTTCTTCTCCTTCACTCTTTCTTTGCCACTCCTCCTCCACACTCCTTCCACTCCCCTCTTTCTCCTCTCTCTCCACTGGTTTCCCCTCCTCCCTCACATCCCCTCTCTCCCCACCATCATCTCTCCCCATTGCCTCTGGAGGGACTTCCAGTGTGTCCGACACGGGTGGCGGCAGCAGCAGAGGGACCTGCAGCACCGCTCTGACCGCATGGTCCCCAGCGGGTGCTGCGCCTTGAGTGGGTGCGGCCGACGTGGTCACCGCTCCTACTGCTGCAGCACCGCCATCGCCACCAGCTGCCGTAGCAGCTGCATCAGCGCTACCATCAGCAGCAGCAGCACGTGCAGTGTCACCAGCAGGACCCGCAGCAGCGTGGGCGGGGCGGCGGAGGGGCAGGGAGGCGGGGAGGAGGGCGGGGGGTCGCCAGGCGCCCTTCCTGCGGTGCAGCGATGCCTCCACCCAGCGCTGCCGCCGGTATGACGACTGCACCTCGTACCTCGCCTACCGGGCAGAGATGGGCACGTGGGGGGAGAAAGAAAAGGTTGGAACACAGGAGCGGAGCTAGCAGGGAAATTATAGAAGCAATGGGTGGAGTGCACCTTGCTCTTGGTTTATGCAGCAGGGGAAGTAGGGGGAGGTAGCATTGAGAAGAGGGGAAGTGAGAGAGCACACCTCAATAGCAGTGCGGATGGTGGAGGAGTCGTTGACTGCGTTGACCAGGTCAACGAGCAGGTGAAGGCGCTCCTCCACACTGAGCTCGCTGTACTCCACCCCTCCCAGCGCCGCCACCCACGCCCTCCCCTGCACCCCCTCTCCCTCCCCCCCCTCCTCTGCGTCCTCCTCTCCATCCCCCTCCTCATCAGACTCCCACTCCCACTCGCTCTCATCACCGCTGCCATCAGCCCCACCACCCTCCTCCCCCCTGCCCTGCTGCTGTTTCTCATCACCATTCATGTCCCCTCCCTCGCCTCTCCCACGCCCTGCCTCCATGCCATCCACCGCCTGCACCTCCTCCTCCCCCAGCCCCACTCCCTCACACCACGCCATCCGCACATCGCCGCCCACCTCCACACTGCCCTCGCCTCCCATCGCCTCACCACGCACCATGCTGTCAGCGGGACCAGGCCCGTTTGCAGCAGCACAGCCGGCTGCATCCTCTGCATCTGTCACCGTCGCCCTCACCGCTTCATCACCCTTGAAATTCGTGCTCGTCCCCACCCCTCCTTCCACCATCACGCCCGTCACGCGCACGGGTCGCGCACTCATCATGTCATTCACAGTCATGCCTTCCTCGGTGGTGTCCTGCCCGCTCTGCTCGGGTGCTCTGCACGGCCCAACCAATTCACCCTCTCTGCGTTCACCGCCCTCTCTGCGTTCACCGCCCTCTCTGCGTTCACCACCCTCTCTGCGTTCACCGCCCTCGCACCATGCACCGCCCCCACCTCCTGCACCACCGCCCTCACAACCCTGCCCATCCCCGTCCATCCGCTCGCCCTGCCCTTGCCCACCACTCTGCTGCCTTCCCTCCTCTGCCCCACCACCCTCTTCTGCGGCCTCCCTTCCTCCCCCACTCTCCTCCTCACCTAAACCCTCACCCTCCACCTCCTTCTCCTCACCCTCCACCTCCTTCTCACCCTCACCACCCACCTCCTTTCCATCCTCTCCCTCCTCTCCCTCCTCCTCTCCCTCATCTCCCTCCTCCTCCCCTCGCCTCCCCTCAGCCGCGCGTCTCACCAGCTCAACAGCCTCCCTCAGCCCCTCCTCTCGCCCCCCCTCGCCCCGCCTGTACGCCCCGCGCACGCAGTAAGTGCAGCTCGCCACGCGCTGGAACAGCGGGTCCCGCGCCAGCGCACCGGTAATGGTAGCCTCGGGAGTGCGGCTGCCAGACAGGTCTCTAAGCCCACACTGCTGGATGCGCTGCGCTAACAGAGTCACGGGCAGCCCAGCAGCGCCCTCATACGCCAGCACGTGGAAGGCCGCGAACTTGACTGTGCCGGGCGCCAGGCGTGCCACCATGCGCGGCACTGGACACACGAGAGGGCTGCTGCTGTGGGCTGGCGGGGCCTTTGGAGGAGGAGAGGCAGTGGCAGGGGGGAGAGGGTTCGTGTCGGTGGCAGCGCCAACACTGCCCTTGCTATCCCCTCCAGCACTTCCTGCCCCTTCCCCTGCCTTCCCCACTCCTCCTGGCCATGCCCCTGTGTGCCGCTCCTCCTGCTTGTCATCATTTTCGTCGTCGTCGCTGAAGCGGCCACCGCCAGCAGCGAGGTACGCGAGGTACTGCGCGTGCAGCTGCCGCCGCTGCTCCTCCCGCCATGCCTGCTGCTCCTCCAACGCCTGCTTTGCCGCCACGTCAGCTGCCCTGCCTGATGCCAGGTCAGCAACGAGAGCTTCTTGGACAGCAGCCTGTAGCGCGTTGGGAGGGAGTGGTGGGGCATGGGCCAATGCAAAACAGACATGTTGCCCTCTTACTTCGCTGCAAGGGCGATTGAGCGAAGCAACCATTACACTCATGCGCACGCTGCACACCTTCACACCTTCACACTCCCGCTCACACCTTCACACTCCCGCACACACCTTCACACCTTCACACCTTCACACCTTCACACCTTCACACCTTCACACCTTCACACCTTCACACATTCACACCTTCACACATTCACACCTTCACACCTTCACACCTTCACACCTTCACACCTTCACACCTTCACACCTTCACACCTTCACACCTTCACACATTCACACCTTCACACATTCACACCTTCACACCTTCACACCTTCACACCTTCACACCTTCACACCTTCACACCTTCACACCTTCACACCTTCACACATTCACACCTTCACACCTTCACACCTTCACACATTCACACCTTCACACCTTCACACATTCACACCTTCACACCTTCACACATTCACACCTTCACACCTTCACACATTCACACCTTCACACCTTCACACCTTCACACATTCACACCTTCACACCTTCACACATTCACACCTTCACACCTTCACACATTCACACCTTCACACCTTCACACATTCACACCTTCACACCTTCACACATTCACATGCCAACGGTTTCATTTCACGTCTCCCTATCCGTGCCACCATCACACTTCCTCAGCTCAACAGAGCATCATGCCACCATGCCACCATCCCGCCTGCCTCACCTCATCACCACTCTCATCGCTGCAGTCACCGCCCGCACCAAGGCCCACAGCACAGGCCTGCCCGTGCATGGCTTCCCCTTGGGAGCCACGGCTGTGAAGGCGGCGGGGATGGCGGCGCCGGGCAGGAGAGAGGCGGGGAGGGCCCCAGGCGGCAGCAAGGGCGTACTGGCGCAGCACCTCGGGCCACGTGAGTGGCCCCAGCAGGCGGCGCCACAGGCTTGGTGTGAAGCCCCACTCACGTGCCTGGGAGGGGTGGGGGGATGGTGTGGCGAGCGCATGTGGGTGGAAGGAGGGAGGAGGTGGTGTAGATAAAAGTGGATCTCGGAGGGAGAGTGGCAGGAGATTGAGTGGAGAGTGGGGCCTGCAAGCACAGTGGTGAACTCAACTTATCCTCTACCGCACCGCACTGCGCTTCCGCCACGCACCGCACATGCGACACTGTCACATGGTTATCGTGCTATGGCAGGGCCCCCTCACCTCAGCCACAACAGCAGCAGCGGAGTGCAGCACGAGCGCCCTGGCGGTGTCCGACCCGCCCACTGCTGCTGCCAATGCATCCGCCACCGCTGCTGCCATGCCCGCTGCCCCCCCCTCTGCCCCCTCTGCCCCCTCTGCCCCCTCTGCCCCCTCTGCCCCCTCTGCCCCCTCTGCCCCCTCTGCCCCCTCTGCCCCCTCTGCCCCCTCTGCCCCCTCTGCCCCCTCTGCCCCCTCTGCCCCCTCTGCCCCCTCTGCCCCCTCTGCCCCCTCTGCCCCCTCTGCTCCCCTGCCACCAGCTGCACCTACATCTACGCCCGTGAGCGCATCTGTGCCTTTGTTGGGTCTATGCAAGGCGTCCAAGTGGTTAGCACTAGGGTTAGTAGTGGAGATACGGTTAAGGTTAGGGTGAAGAGATTTGGGGCTGGCTGTATGGTGGTTTACGGTACTGGGAGCTGCACGACTGCTGGGAGGCGGCATGGTGGGGGGTGTGTGTACAGTTGCTGGTGGAGGTGGTGGTGCTGCTGCAGTTGCGAGGGGTGGCGCGGTGTCAACGAGCAGCACTCGCATGAGCGCGAGATGGATCTCCGTCAGCAGGCGCGCCTCCTGCTCATGTGATGGGCGAGGCGGGAGAGGAGACGTGAGTGGCGCATGACAGAGGAGGGATGCGATCGGAAGGAGAAGAAGAGGGGAACGTATGGCGATGCAAGGCAGCAAGGGAGCGAGCGAGATGAGCGAGCATGAGTTTGGGGAGAAGAGAGGGCAAGCAGAGGCATGTGAACAGCATTGCTGCAGAAGCGCAGCCACTGCAGGGTCGACACAGTGGAACTTGCTGGCCTTGCAGCAAGCAGGTGTGGGTGTAACAGTTGCAAGATGGCACCTGGGCTCAAATGCAGAAACGTGCAGAGCGGAGCAGACAGAGGCAGGGCGGGGTGGGTGGGTGTGTACTGACAGGGAGGTGGAGTGCGTGCGCGAGGTGGTGCAGGGAGAAGGGCCAGAGGGCGAGGGTGTCGGCGAAGGTGGTGAGGAAGGAATACACCTGCAGGGGGTGGTGATGTGGGAAGGGGGCGAGAAGGAGGTCAGGTTTGAGTAGATGCAGACTTGCCTCAGAGAAGAGAACAAGGACAGGGGGAGTGGGTGGCAGATGCGATGGTGACAGGAAGAACGCACGGGGTGGAGGGTGTGGGGTGGCTTATGAGTATGTGAGACGATCAGTGGGGCGTGGAGTGAGAGGGGGCAAATTTATGGGTGGAGTGGACATGAGAGGAAGCATGAGGTCGCAGTAGAGGAGAGGCTGCACACGCATGGGAAACTGACGGGCAGCAGAGGGAGGGATCAGCAGCTTGCGTGGCAGAGAGGAGGGGAGGCACGATGAAGGAAGAGAGGCGAGCAGGAGCAGCATGAAGAGAGGATGGCGCACCATGAGAAGGTCGCTGACAGCTTGGGACTTGGAGCGCCAGGGCGGGTCGGGCAGCACTGGATGGCGGCGCACTGTGGGCGGTGGGAAGGGCAGTAAGTGCTCTGCAGGGCTCAGAGAGAGACGGGTTGGGGGCGGATGGGGAGGGGCGGATTGGTTGAGAGAGAATAACTGTGAGGCGTGGGGGAATGAGAAAGAGCAGATGAGAAGGGAGGGAGACAACACGGAGTGTAAGAAAGAGAAGGTGGAGTGGGATGGAATATTGTGAGTGTAAGGGCGGAAGGAGAGGTAGAGAGATGGGTGGGTGAAGGCGACTCACTCGTGAGATCGCCCATATCCATGTCCCCCACACCACGCCCTTCCCTTGCCACCTTCTTCCTCTCACCATCCTCCCCTTCCCCTTTCTCCTCCTCACACTCGCCCTCTCCGCCCCTGAGCGAGCCAGCAGCAAGCTGCAGTTCCAGCTGCCGGTCGTCCAGCAGCTGCAGGGCTGCGCGCGCTGCCTGCCGCGCCTTGGCCCTCTCTGCCTGCACGCGCTCCCTCGCCGCCTCCCGCGCCCGCCTTTGCTCCTCACGCCGTTGCCGCCTCGCCACCTGCGTTGAGGAGGGCGGGCGGGATAATAGAGAGTGAGGGTCCGGTGGAAGGGGAGTGGGAGAGAGGGGCGGGGTGGACGTGGGAGGTGTCTGCGTGGGGAGGAAGGCACACAGGAGCGGAGGGAAGGGTGAAAAAAGGGCGAATGCACATTGCCTGCACAGTGCCTGCGCCACTTGCCTCCTTCTCGCCCTCGCTGCTTGCCACCGCTGCTGTGCCGCTTCCCCACCGTCAGCAAGTGAAAGGGGAAGTGAGTGAAGGTGCAAGACAGAATCGATGGGCGACACAGACACAATGAGGAGGCGGCGCGGGGGGTGGCGCTCAGCTGAGCGGGCAGGACGCACAAGAGGCAGCCAGCTCACCTGAATGCTCTCCTTCATTTGCTCCCGCGCCTGCCGCTCCTCCTCCCGCTTCTTCTCCCGAACCATCCTCTCTCGCTCTTTCTCCCGCTCCCGCGCCTCCCTCTCCTCCTCGCGCTGCCGCTCCCTCGCCTCCCTCGCTTGCTCCTTGTGCCTCTCCCGCTCTTCCCTCTCCTCCTCCCGCCGCCGCCTCTCCTCTGCCCGCCGTGCCGCCTCCTGCATCTGTTGCAACAAGCATACCACAAACCAGCAGCACAGCACAGAACCAGGTCAGAGGCGGCAACACAACAAAACATGAACGGCAATGGAAAAAAACAACACGAAACACACATTTTCCAAGCTTTACCCAACCTCACCCCTTCCCCTCTCCCTCCCCCCCCCCCTTTCCCCTCTCCCTTCCCCACCCCCCGTCACTACAGTGCCCTCAGCAGCCTTGGGAGCCCACCTTGCGTTGGGCCGTCTCCTGCCTCTCCGCCTCGCGCCTCACTCGCTTCTCCTGCTGCTGCTGCTCCTTGCGCACCCGCCCCTCCTCCCCTTGCTGCCACCCCGCCACCCACACCACAAAAGGCACAGCGGCAGGCATGCAGCAGAGCAGCGTACAGCGATGAGAACGAGGGAGGGTTGGCAGCCCCGAGGAAGCATGTTGGAGGAACAGCACTAGACTGGCTGTTTGGAAGGCCGGAAAAGCAGCCATTGATGCCACAGGCATGAAGCACAGGCATGAAGCACAGGCTGGCACAGGCATGAAGCACAGGCTGGCACAGGCATGAAGCACAGGCTGGCACAGGCATGAAGCACAGGCTGGCACAGGCATGAAGCACGGGCTGGCACAGGCATGAAGCACAGGCTGGCACAGGCATGAAGCACAGGCTGGCACAGGCATGAAGCACAGGCTGGCACAGGCATGAAGCACAGGCATGAAGCACAGGCTGGCACACAAGTGCAACGTTGGGAGGAGTGTTAGCTACCCTGCAAATAACCTTGCTCACCTTCTTCCTCTTTGTGCCGCTCTGCTTCGCCCCATCCTGTGCCGCCTCGCCTCGTTGTGACCCCTCCTCCTCGTCCTCACCACCCCCCATGGTCCCTTGTACCACCCCAACCCCGCCATCAATGCCACCTGCCTGCCGTCGCCTCTTGTTCCCAGGCCTCTCCTCACTTCCTCTCTCCCCGCATTGCCGTGACTCCTCATGCCAAGCCTCCTCCCTTTCCTCCTCCTCCTCCCCCTCATCCTCCTCTTCCTCCTCGTCCTCCTCCTCCTCTTCCTCCTCTTCTTCCTCTGTCGGTTCAACATCCCTACCCCCCACTCCCATCCCCCCGCCCTTCTTCCCTTCCCACAACCCTTCATCCCCTCCCACTAACCCACCCACTAATCTCATACCACCGTTCTCCACACCTGTTTCCCGCTTCCTCACCCCGCATTCGCGTCCATTCGCCTGCCCCCCCTTCTCCGCGCCTCTACTCCCGCGCCCCACCATGCTCCCACCCGCTCCTCCTCTCCCCTTCTCCCCCACGCCATTCATCACACCCTTCCCCCCCCCAGCAGCAAAGCCCGACGACCCCGAGGCAGCAGCAGTGAGCAGGTGCAGCAGTTCCGCCCCTTCCTCTCCACTCCCCTCCTCCTCTACCGCCTCCTCCTCCTGCTCCTCCTGCTTCATCAGCCCTTCCCTGCCCGCCCTTCCTGCTGCCGCGTGGTGATGCTGACCAGGCTGCGGACCAGCAGCAGCAGCAGCTGTTGTTGTTGGCGGGTGTGAAGTCCCGTTGGCAGTGAGGCCAGCAGGTGCGCCGGTAGCAGGGCGCAGGGCCCCATCGGCAGCGAGCAGCGGACCACTGGCAGAGGCAGAGGGCGGCAGCGTGTGTGGAGGTTCCAGTGCGTGCAAGGGAGAGGCGCGCACTGCAGCGCGGGTTGCAGCGACAGTGGCCGCCTGCGGTGGGGCAGCCGGGAGCGCAACACAACACACGGGGGATGCGGGGGAGGGAGGCGAGACACAAAGGGGGTGGTGGCTGGGGACGTGAGAGGAAGGCGAGCAGGGGACAGGACAGGAGAAGGCATGAAATGGAGAAGGCATGACAAGGATTATGGCAGAGGGCAGAGCTGACTCTGTGCTGGTCAATGCCTCGGGGATAAAGGGTGCAGGGACGAGAGAGAGGACGGACGGACAATACAGAGAGCGAGAGTCACAGGTGGCAGATGCAAGACGAGGACGAGGCAGAAGAGAGGAGTAGCAGGGAGGGATGAGTAGCAGGGAGGGATGAGTAGCAGGGAGGGATGAGTAGCAGGGAGGGATGAGTAGCAGGGAGGGATGAGTAGCAGGGAGGGAGGAGTAGCAGGGAGGGATGAGTAGCAGGGAGGGATGAGCGCCACAGCGAGCCATGGCAACAAGGCCTTGCCCTCACCTCGGCTGTGCCTTGCTGCCCCTCCCCGCCCTGCCCTATCCCACCCTCCCCCACTTCGCCTTGTCCCCCCACCCCCTTCTCCTCGTCATGCTCGCCAGCCCCCTGCTGCGGCTGGGCTGTGCCTGGCCCAACCCTCGCCTTGCGCACTGCACACTCACACACACACACACACACACACACACACACACACACACACAGAGGCATGGTAAGGCAGGGCGAGGAGGAAAGCATTGGCACGGAAGCACATTGCACCGATCGTGACCATGATGCAAGGGGCATGTGAGGGGCGAGGTGAAGTTGGGCTCATAATCCAACATGGCAGGCAGGTGCGCCCACGTGGGTGCAGGGTAAGTGCGTGGATGGGTCCTGTAATGGGTGGGAAACGACGGTTGCTGAAGCACGAGCGGATAGGGCGAGGCATATTACCAAGGGCGAGGTTGAAGCGCAGAGCGGGCACGGGGTCAAACACAGCACTTAGTGGCGGCCCTTCCAACCGGTACTCGCCTCCCATGCCCCTCCTCACCCTCTCCACCGCCTCCGCCTGCTCCTCCTCCTCCTCCTCCTCCTCCTCCTCCTCCTCCTCCTCCTCCTCCTCCTCCTCCTCATCCTCCTCTTCCTCCTCCCCGCCTGCCACCCACTCCCCGCTCCCATCCTGCCTTCTCCAGCTACTCTGCTCACCCTGCCATGCCGATGAACTGGCAGCTGCTAATTGGCCGTTGGCAAGGCCACCTGGCATGCCGATTGAAAGCGCCCTTTGCTCCTCCACAGCCTTCCACGCGCTCCCTTCCGCCCCCCCTGCGCCTTGTGCGCCCTGTGCGCCCTTCCCTCCTACGCCCCCTGCGCCCTGTGCGCCCTCCCTGCCTCTCCCAGGGACCCGGGGTGTGGTGTGTGCGCACGCCACAGCACCACCACCGCCTGCACCAGGACCAACCGAGCCGGTACCCAACACTGCACCTCCAGCAGCAGCAGCGGCAGCAGCAACGCCACTCGCAGAAGCACTGGCAGCACCACTACCACGAGCGCCGGAGCAGGCGAGCCCCGTGGCAGCGCGCCCAGCCCTGGCGTCGTGCTGCTCCTCCAGCTCCTCGTGCGCCATCAGCCCTGACACCCCCGCGCCCCCCCCCTCCCTCTGCGCCCTGCCCGCGCCCACCACTGACAGCTTCCGCACGCCCCCCGCGTTCCACCACACGTACCCCTCCCCCGCCCTCCCCTCGCCCCCCCTGCCACACGCATCGGCGGAATCCGCAGGGACAGGCAGGAGGGGCGTGGCGGGTATAGGCGCGGGGGCGAGGGGGCGGCCAAAGAGGACGGGAGACGCGCCAGGGGGGGCGGGAAGAGTTTTAGCGGGGAGGGCGGGGATGCGGAACACGCCCGCACGCGCCGCCGCGCCGGGGGCTGCGTCCGTGGAGAGCGCGCGTCCCGCAAGGAGGCTGCTCACGCGCGAACTGCCCCCAGGCTGCTCTGCCCCCTCCTCCGCATTCACATCGCCGCCCATCCTAGGCGCCGCCAGTGACTCCGCCGCGTCGGATCCACCACCGCCGGCGGCGGCGGCGGCGGCGGTGATGGAGAAAGGGGTGGTGAGGCCAGGTCGTGCGAGGCCTTGGCCCAGCGGGCCGGCGGTGCGCGGGAATGCGGTGGCGGGCGGCTTGGGCGCGGCGGCGGCGGAGGCGGCGACGGAGTTCTCGAGGATGCGGTCCTTGCGGCGGCGGTGCGAGAACCACATCTGCAGCTGGCGGTCCGTGAGCGCCAGCTCCGCGCACAGCGACGCGCGCAGGTCGTCCGACGGGTACTTGTGCACTGCGCGGGGCGGGAGGCGGGTGGGGGGGTACAGGGGGCGCGGAAGGGCGAGGAGAAACAAAGGGGATTTCTATGGTTGGCGGACAATGATTCGCGAGTTGCTTGCAAGCGACGCGATGTCTCTGTAGACGTGTCTGACGGAACAAGCATCGCGACTACTCTCACCACATACCAAAAAGTTTTCACCAGCTAAATGGATCCTACTGTGTAAAGTACTGATCGAAAGCTTCAAGAAGGAACAGAAGCTTGAGGGTAACGAAAATCGACTGCTACGACGAGCGAGTATGTACCAGCAAAGACCTCTTCCAATCTCTCCAGCTGCACCGGTGTTTTGCGGATCTTCCTCTGCTTCCCGGACCCCGATAATTGGCTACTTGAATCGTCGCCGTCCATCGCGACTACTTTTTTCTACTAGCGACGTGCCGATGGGATTGACGCTAGCTTCCAAGGGTCAAAAGCGGGCCTATTTCGAAAACCGCTCAACAACTTGCATTCTTGCTTTCGCGAATATTTTCGTAAAACAGCTTTACTTGAAGAGCTTCACTCTAAATAACGTCTGCTCGCCCTTCGAAGGCCTGTATGTGTGGAAAAACGCAACTCCATTGCTGAAAGTTGCGAAACCCTTGCCTGGAAAACCGAGCTTTGAGCATTTTGATGATCAGAAGTGGCTGGATGAGAATGCATGAAGCGAGGGTTCTCGGCATCACAGCAGATTGGATTGAAGCACAACAAGCAGAGCGGGTTGGATGCACAAGGCTGGTAAATTTTGCCTGTATCATCTCACCTTCGCTATGTCCATCGACGGCTGTAATTCGTCGATGATTTGCTTCTCAGCGCATCGTAGCCTCTGATTTGAATCAGAACATGATCTCGGCCGCTGATCTTCGAAATGCCCCATCTCTCACCCTGGTCACTCATTCCGTTTGCACTGCTCCAACAAACAACATCCTGCGCGTCGCCGTTGGCCTGACTGACGGAACCAGACGAGCAGGACCAAACGACGACAACCCCAATGCACGCAGACGATGCTCGTCACTGGTAACCAGCTTCCATTCAGGCAGGAGAATCGGTCGCCAGTTCAGGGTGTACATGTGATACGTGACGGATGCATGGGGACGGCAATCATGCACATCAGAACAAATAACAATAAAGATATGACCCGAATTTGTTTTTCCGGTGACACTCATCCTCGTAAGTACGTACTTTGTACGACTTGATTTTCGAGAAAAGAAACTAACAGCCTCACCCTCGTGTTGTTGAAGTGACGACGCCTCACCCAGAATTGAAATCAAGGTGACTACAGAACCCTGATCTAACTCGAGCAGATGACAACAGAATAACACTTCATATAATTCCACAGAAATTGGTGTCAATGTTTGTTTCTTCTTTGTGCAGTGGCATCATGAATCATGTCACGCCTTAGCAGAGTCGTAGTGTCAACGGCCCACCATGTCGCTTGCCTGCTCTCGAGCGTTCCTCTTGCCCAATTCGCATCGACTCGTCGTGTCAATCCCCGCACCGCGTCCCGCGTCATCCTCCGCAAATTTCGTTGCCGCTGAATGCGCAGCGAAACGGTCATTCTGTAGGCGGCGAGGAGCGGGTCATCCCTTCCCCGCAGCCGCACGACCCGCTGTTCAGACCGCCGCACCTGAAGCGGTCGCCGTCTTAGCGAGTGCCTCCGAGGGGCTAGGATCAGTTAGAGGGGCTCAAATTGGTCGACGCGCAACCGATGAGCTCGAAGCGCGGCGGGGGAGATGGCACAGAGGATATGCCGGGGCTGCAGCGGCGGCGCGGACGATGCGTTGTGGCGGGCAGTGGGACAGTCCCGCACGGCCGCACGGAGTGCGCGGGAACATGGCGTACGGGGGGTACTTTGTGGCGCATATGATGCGCGGACGGTCACCATGTTGCGCGCCATCCCTGTCTGCTGCCCGCCTCGCGCATTCCGCCTCCGCGCCAGCCGGTGTGGATAGTGGCGACGATAGCACCGTTGGCGTCAGCAGCGGCAGCGGCAGTGGTGGTGGCGGCACTGAGGCCGAGGCGCCTGATCCACGAGTGGACGGCGTGCAGGTGGGGACTATGGACCTTGGGATGCCATGGGATGGGATGGCATGGGATGGGACGGCATGGCATGGCATGGCATGGCATGGGATGGCACGGGATTTCATGGCATTGTTTGGCATGGTTTGGCATGGTTTGGCATGGGATGGGATTGCATGGCATTAGACAAGGGGGGTGACGAGGAGTGAGTGTTGAAGGCGACTGAGAGTTTCAGGCGTCAGTTCACATCCACATGCTAGGTGGACTCGACACAGAGCCATAAATTCTGTCTTTCCAGTGTGCTTATGTTGCCTGTGTGCTCCTTTGTGTGCTGTGCTGTCTGGGGTTGGGAAATTGGATGGAAGGGGGGGTGGGGGGGCGGTCATGGTGATGGATGGTGGCGACATTGTTGCCGGCGCCCACAACCTGTGAGCCCTGCTCCTCTGCTCTCCTCCCATGCCTCCGTGCCACTGCTCGTCATGCCTTGTCATGTGGGCCTCATTGTGAAGCATGGGAAATACTAGCTACTGCTCTCTTTGGGATCCCAATCTATCGTTTATATCAAGCAATCATTTTGCAACAATCCACATAGCATTGCATTCAACCACCCCCCCGCTCCACCCCCCTCTCCCTCATTTCCCTCTGAAATGTTTTCCCATTCCAGTCCCATCTTCCCTTCCATTTTTGTGTTACCCACACCACGCATTCCTTCTCAACTTCCCCATTCCACTCCGCTTCACCGCCCCCCCTCCCCTCACTGCACTTCACGGCAGGAGTGAGGCCAGTGGTGACCCCACGGCCCATGCGGAGATGCTGTGCATCCGAGTGGCATGCACCCACCTCGCCCACTGGCGCCAACTGCAGGCAAGCTGCCCTTCTTACTGCCGCCTAAAAGCGAGCTGACTTGCCCATTCGCGTCTTCTCTTCAGGCTCACCTATCCGTGATCCTACCCTTAGAGCCGTGCCCCATGTGTGCGGTGGGGCATCCTTCCCCCACACTCTCCTTTCGACGCCTCCTCCTCCCCAACACCACCTGTGCACACCCTCCCCCCTCCCTCTCAACACTGCATGCTGTACGTGAGGTAAGAGCCGTGCCCCATGTGTGCGGCGGGGCATGTGTCCCCGTTCACATCACAATCACACACCCCGTTCCCCCCTATCCCCCCTACCATTCCATCTGAGCACTGCATGCTGCACATGACCCTAGTGCCCCCAGGGCCATCCTGCCCTACATTCTCATGCTCGTTTCCCCCGATCCTCCCCCCCGCCACCACCCGCCTTTCATGCCCTCCCCCACCCCACCCCCCAGCACTGCACACTATACGTGACCCTAGAGCCGTGCCCCATGTGTGCAGGGGCCATCCTGCAGGCGAGGGTGGGGCGCTCCCAACCCGCTGCTGGGGGCTGATGGCAGCTGGGTCAGGTGAGCGGTGCAGTGCGGTGAGACGCTGTGCAGCTGTGCCGAGTGGGAGAGGGGGGTAGGGGGGGCGAGATAGGCTGCATCAATTGAGGGGAGTGAGAAGAAAGCTAGTGGGCAGGCACGCTGGAGTGGAGCGGTTGCTGTGGTGTGCGACGGATGCATTACCTGGGGTGAGGTTCATGACAGCCTAAGTTAGGAGCCTGCAATCAACCTCGCCCTCCTCTCAACCCTCCCTTCGCCCTCCTCTTAACCTCTCGTCGCCCTCCTCTCAACCTGCTTCAACTCTCATTACCACCTTATGGGCTGCTCCCCTCGCACTTTCCGCACACCGCTCATCCTTCCAACTCTTCATTGCCTCTCTGCTCTAACCTCCCCTCCCCACCTCCACTGCTGCCCCGTGCTGCCCTGCCCTGCTGCCCCATGCTGTCCCCTCACAGCTTGTTCCCGCCACGACCTTCAGCACATGGCTCTCCCTCTCACCGCCTGCAACCCGGATCTGTGCCCGCACAGGGCACACCCGGCCGGCGCAGCCGCAGACGGGGGAGGAGGACAGACATCGATGCCGAGGAGAGCAAGGAGGAGATTGGGGTTCGTGGAGTGGTGGGGAGTGAGGAGGGGTCAGGGGAAGGGGCTGTGAAGGAAGGGGGTTTAGAAGCTGGCGGGGATGGAAGCAATGGGGTGGTTGGGGATGAGATGATGGTGAAGAGTGATGAGAGGGGGGGAGAATGGGAACCGGCACAAGGTGGGGAGTGTGTGAGAAGCAACGATGCGGACAGGGGCGATGCCAGTGGGGGCGATGGAAGTGGAGATGAAAAGAGCTTGGGCTCTGGGCGTGTGGAGCTAGAAGGGCTGGACAAGGCAAGGGGGAGTGCGGCGTTGATGGGTGAGGGGCAGAGGGGATTGGATCACGTGGGTGTTGGAAAGGGAGGGCGGGTGCACCCCTTCCATCCGCACGTGCGCGTGACAGGGGGCGTGCTGGGTGAGGAGTGCGCGCAGGTGATGCGAGATTTCTTCACAGCCAGGCGCAAGCAGCAGGCCGAGGAGAGAAGGGGGCGCAAGGCAAGGGAAGGGCTTGTGGGAAGTTGACGGCCTTTCATCGGATCTACTCCTGTCTGTCTGTTTCACCACGCTTGTCTGAGAGGTGCATTGTGGTGTTGCAGGCAAGAGGTCTTGTTACCCTGTATATGTGAAACAAATACCGTCAAGAGCATATGATCTACCGCTAGTGAAGTTCTGGTACTACACGTTAGAAAGGTCCAAGTTACTACCGTACTACCGTATCGCCCGCCTAGTGCTCAGCTTGTGGCAGACCGACACTCACGCCATTGAAAGTCCTGAACCTTCGCATGTGACTAACGATGATCGGACACCACGTTGACTCGTTGTGGCTTGCCCAGACCAGCGAGCAGGACACGTGGGTGGGTCATTTGGGACACTCTTTACTTTGGAAGTATCTTTCCCGTCAACGCGTGCCCGATGTTGTTGTTGGGCTGAGAAAAGCCCCATAGGATCGTTTTTCAAGACTAAGGCTCAGAATAGTGATGTACTAGCGGAAGCGTCTTAGTGAACTAGTTGAACCACCTTGCACTGGTGTGTGAGAACAAGATAAGTTAATTACCGTCATACCCCGGATATAAGCGCCACCCTCGGATTAGCGCCTGGCGCTTTTAATTGGCGCATGGCGCTTATATCCGCTGCTCGATTATAAGCGCACCCCCTGAAAAAACTTGTTTTATTATAAGCGCACGTAAACTTTAAATTTTGAAATGTGTTCAAAATGCTGTAACGATTTTTACTTTAGCAGGCGGATGTGTTGCAGATTCGGTTCCCTTCACATTCGGACCCTGCACTGGATGCGGGTCCAGTCAGCAGGAGCCGTCAGGAGCTGTCAGGAGCTGGATGTGAGTCAGATTGGGTGTATCTCCCAGCCAGGCCATATTTTATCAGTGTAAATCACCCTGATACCCTGATTATAAGGGTGGTTTTTGGTAGTCACACTGATGCCTTAGGGTAATTTTTTTGGGAGCTAGATTTTCCCTGATACGCAAGGGTTTACGATTAAGGCACACTGATGCCTCAGGGTTGCCGTTCCGCTTAGCGAGTTTACCCTGAAGCGAGTATCACCCTTCCCCCGCCAAACCCCCCCCCTCCCCGAACCTCCCTACCCCGTAACCCGGGATTCCCAAATGCCAACTGTCGAAAATGAAAATTTTGCGGAGAAACCCGGTATTCACGAAACCCGTTTTCCGCTTCAACCATCTTGAACACGTCTGCAGCAAAACTCTCTGCCATCCCATAGTAGAGAAAGCAATCCCCTCCATTCTTCCAGGTTGACTTAGCCTGGATTCATTTCACCAGATCCTGCAAGCAACAAGCTCCAAGCATCACAGCAGCCAGACATAGAGCTAAGAACGGCATAGTTGACATCAGAGAGGCTCCAGCCTCGGCGGATTATTGGAACAAGCTAGTCACAATGAAGACTCAAGTGTTGATCACCATACTGCTGTGCTTAGCCTTTTCCGCCCCTGAGACCGCTCGATTCTAGTCTCTTCTGGTCAAGGACTAGTTTTCCGCCTAAGAAGTTTAGCTAGGATGTTCATCAGAATATCCGTCGACAATAGTAGTTTTTCCTAGTAGTACGAAATCTCACCTTCTCCAGCAGCTTTCGATCTCGTCATGTTACGGTTACAGGATCTGGGATTTTCGTAGTTCACCTCACAGATCTGTCTTGCGTAGCTGTCTGAACTTGCAACCTCTCTTCACTCCCGAGCACCTTTTAAACGCTTGCGTCACACTTGTGTCCTTACCTTCTTGTCATTCCATCCGTTTCATTTCCCTCGAGCAGAAATACGCCGTGCGCAACTCCGTCCGCAGCGGCAGCGCGCACCGACTGAGGTGGCGCAAGCTGACAGAGCTTCCCACTTGCGTCAACCAAACACTCTGCGGATCGTAAGTGTATCGCTTCTCCCTGCAAATCTTCTGCACGCATGTCCCGCTTCCCATTTGCCTCACGCGTTCCCCCTTGTGAGTCTTCTATCCGGCCCTCGGCTCCCTTCTGCCGCTCTTCTTGCTCTGTTGTGTTGTGTCATCCTGCCCTGACTCCGCTGTGCCTTGCACGCTGTTTCTTATCTGTTCTTTTTGTGTCTTCTCGTGTGAATTCTCCTTAGACTGTGAAATCAGTTGCGCAGGCGACCCCAGTGGAAAGAAAGGGGAAAGAAAAAGTGCCTGAGCCAGAAGAAAGTGACCACGAGCAACACCCATTTGGCATGTTTGATGATGATGACTAAGATTGTTATTGTATGCTCTGTTAATAACAATTTCATCAGGGTTTGAAAAAATTGTACACTGATGCCCCAGGGTAGAATTTTCAAAACAAGCAGAAACCCTGATGGAAAAGTTTTTTCACAAGGGGTCACACTGATAATCAGGGTTTTGAACATGTGCAACACTGTAAGGGTTGCTAAAAACCAAAAATTAGCCCTGCTCCCAGCGCGCGCGAGAATTTCACAGACGACCCCATGTAACTTCGACTCGATTGGAAAGGCAAGCACGAGATCTACAGTTTGGTGTTAAAACATAGAAAAAATATATATGTCATTTTATAAACGCCGGCGCTTATAAATTTACTCGATTATAAGCCCACCCCCCTGAAAAAACCTGTTTTATTATTGCCCCCCATGGGGGTATATCCGGGGTATGACGGTATAGCAAAGAGATACAAGGCTTTATATGATTACAAGGAATATGAAACGTTTAACTGTAACTGCTGTTGCGGTTCGATACAGCGACGACTTGGGTAACTGCTCAATAGCGAGTCAGTTATGTGTCCTTACTGTCGCGCTGATTTTCAGAGAGTCAAAGGTCGCTGACCTTTGACCTTCACTTAACCTCTTGCTGTTGTCTTTCTGTCATCCGCTTTGGTTGACTCGCTGTTACTTCGTTGTAGTTCGCTTCGTTTACGTTGTAGTGTTCGACACATCAGAAGCGCGAACTATATGTTTCCAACACTCCCCTTTGCTTCTGGAGTGTCATCGCCTTCGTTGCTAGTGACGTGGCCTTGTCCAGTCAGCAGCATGCAGTACTCGAACTTCTGCTTTCCAAGTTTCTTGGTCAGGTAATCTGCTGCCATCTCGGACATGGGGCAGTAGGATAGCTCGAGTCTCCCTTTCTCGATCTCGTCCTTCACGAAGAAATAGCGCAGGGCAATGTGCTTCGTTCGGTTCGCGAACCCGCTCTTGTTCGTGTCAAACATTAATCACTTGGCCTGTGTAGGCTGTAGTGGGGTAGACACTATGGGGTACAGTTTCCTAGGGTTTCATATTTGTACCCAACTCATTTCCTAGTCATTCATTCTCTCATTTCTTCACATGGTATAGAGCGGGTTCCCTAGTGGGACCGTTCCTTCCTAAGGGCCCACCGTTAAATTTTTTTTTTTTCCTAACTGCCCGAAGCGCGCTTCGCGCTCTGCCCTGCCCTCGATTTTTGCGGCCCCTTTCGCGGCCTGTCCTGCCCTACGCGGCCCCTTTGCGGCCCATTAGCGGCCCCCTTCGAGGCCCCGTTGAGACCCCGCCCCGGCCCTGCCCCGTCGCCCGAAGCCGCCCCGTCGTGGCCCTATCGCGGGGCGGCCCCGGCCCTGCCCCGTCGCCCGTTGCGACCTCGTCGCGGCCCCGCCCTGGCCCTGCCCCGTCGCTCGTCGCGGCCCGACCCCGGCCCTGCCCCGGCTCTGCCCCGGCCCCGTCGCGGCCCTGTCCCGGACCTGTCGAGGCCCTGCCCCGGTCCTGCCCCGACCCTGTCGCGGCCCTGTCCCGGACCTGTCGCGGCCCAGCCCCGGCCCTGTTGCGGCCCTGTCGCGGCTCTGCCCTGGCCCTGCTCCGGCCCTACCCCGGCCCTGCCCCGGCCCTGCCCCGGCCCTGCCCCGACCGTGCCCTTACCCTGCCCCGGCTCTGCCCCGGCCCTGCCCCGGACCTGTCGCAGCCCTGCCCCGGCCCTGCCCCGGACCTGTCGCAGTCCTGCCCCGGACCTGTTGCAGCCCTGCCCCGGCCCTGCTCCGGCCCCGCCCCTGGTAAGAGCACCGCCGAGCCGGCCCGCCCTGCCGAGTCGCGCTGCCCTGCCTAGCCGCGCCGCGTAGCCGAGTCGCGCTGCTGCTGCTGCTGCTGCTGCTTCTGTCATGGCTAGTCCCAGTGTTCTTACCTTTGATGCTGAGGGTCGAGCGGTTGACTTCGAGGTCTGGATAGATGATCTGCAGCTTTTCCTATAGTGCGATAGCAAGGATGGTCTCTCACTGTTCGATCTCACGTCTGGCGCCTCTACTGCCCCTGCTGCTGATGCTGACAGTACTGTTCGCTCACAGTGGACCACGCGTGATGCTGCTGCCCGCCTTGCTGTGCGTAGTCACCTACCGTCTACTGAGCGCGCGCACTTTAGTCAGTACAAGAGTGCTAAGACTCTGTACGACGCTGTAGTTGCACGCTACTCTTCCCCTGCCACTGCTGCTCTTAGCCGCCTCATGCTACCGTACCTGTTCCCTGACCTCGCCGCTTTTGCCACAGTCGCTGACCTCATTACGCACCTCCGCACTAGTGACACCCGCTACCGTGCTGCGCTTCCTGCTGAGTTCTGCGCCAAGAACCCCCCCCCCATGTACATCACCCTCTACTACCTAGTCACCCGGCTCCCTGACACCCTTCGCTCGGTCAGGGACCACTTCCTCTCTCTTTGCCCTACCACACTCACCGTTGACCTCCTCGAGGAGCGCCTCCTTGCAGCAGAGACTATTATTACCGCTGTAGAAGCCTCTCGTGGTGACCCCCGTACCCCTTTCTTTGAGGGGTGCTCCCCCGTTCCTCTTTTGCCCTCCGTTGCCTCTGCTGCTGCTGTCGACCTTGTTGGCACCGAGTCGGTCAGCGCTGCGTCTGCTCCTGGCGAGAGGCGCCGCAACGGCAAGGGCAAGCGGGGCAAGGGCGCTGGAGGAGGTGGCGGGGGAGGAGGTAGTGGCGGTGGAGGCGGAGGAGGGGGTGGGGGTGGGGGTGGTGGCAGAGGTGGGGGCTTCGGTGGCAGCGGTGGAGGTGGAGGCGGCGGTGGCGGTG